GAATCGCTTAAGCCCAAGAGTTTGAGGTTGCTGTGAGCTATGATGCCACAGCGCTCTACTGAGGGTGACATAGTGAGACTCTGTCTCAAAATAAAATAAAATAAAGCTGCATGGTATAGTAGCCCTGTACAGAAGGAACAGAAAGTTGTGTCTCCTATTGCCCTATGCAGGTATCAGTCATCTCCTCACCCAGGAAGAATGGTGCCACTTTGTCAGCTTTTAGCTGAGAAAAGCCATCAGACAAACATTGTTCTTTATGCCATGCTCTCTGAGCCCCTTCTCATCCCTGTCCCACCCGCCCCAAGAGCTCCTCCAGTTCTGAGCCAAGGGGCCAATGATATAACAGGTAAGAGCTTCCAGGCTCTAGGGCAGCAGTTCTCAATCTGTGGGTCGAGATCCACAGGAACTATATTAAAGGGCCCATGCATTAGGAAAGTTGGGAACCACTGCCTTACAGTCAAGTGGGGGAAGAACTGCTAATGTAGAGTAGGGGTGAAGGAGACACAAGATATCCCTCAATCATCCCTCCCCAGTGCCCTGAGGAGCAGGAACTAGACCACAGAGAAAACCCAGTACACAGCATAGACCAGCAGTGGGTTCTGTTTCTTCCTCCCTACAAAGCCCTGTGATCAAAACAACTCCCACCCTCCCCCCAGGGTCTGTACTGTCCAACCTACTCACAAGTTTACTGTGCAAAGGGTACAAGGTTGCAGGAACACAGGCACTGGGACCTGGCGGTGCATTCCATTGTAACCAGCTCCAGGAATCCGTAGGTTGTTTTTATAATCCTCTAACTACTTGACCCTTTGAGTTATTTCCCAGAAATGAGGAACTTGAACTCCTGGTCTCCAGCCTGGACCTCCCAAAGTTCAGAGATTATAGGCAGGAGCCACCACACCCAACCTGAAATAATGGATTTTCTACAAGACAAAGGAGTTGAGATCCTGAAGTCCCCAGGGCAGACTTCCTGACACCAAAATTCACCTTCCCTCACAACCTGCCCCAAAGCAGGTAGTCCCTTCTCTAAATGCCAAGGATATCCAAAGAGATACCAAAAATGCCTTTCTTCCTTGGCAATACACCTTGTCTCAATAATCGGATTGTTGTGAGACAAGAAACTGGATGTAAAAGGCAAGGGCCTTCTCCCCCCACCCCCCCAGACAGAGTGTCACTTAGTCACTGTGAGTTGAGTGCCGTGACATCATAGCTCACAGCAACCTCAAACTCCAGGACTCAAATGATCCTTCTCCCCCAACCTTCCAATTAGCTGGGACTACAGGCACCAGCTACAACGCCTGGCTATTTTTAGAGACAGTCACTCCAGCTCAGGCTGGTCTCGAACTCCTGAGCTCAAGGTAATCTACTTGCCTAGACCTCCCAGTGTGTTAGGATTACAGGCATGAGCCACTGAACCTGGTCAAGCCCTTACCTTATTGACAACATTGTGTCCATTCATTCACTGCTTACCCACTCTCAGCTGTGAAATCTGGGACCACCCACTGAAAACTTGTAGGTCTTACCTTTGGCCTCTGGAGTGGTATGTACTCACAGCCCAGCCTGCCCCAGCACCCTGAAAACATCCTGAAACACTAATAACATGAAGCCCTCTGCTCAAGCCAGAGCCACATTTTATTAAACTCCCAGGTTCAAGTGATCTTCCTTTCTCAGCCTGCTGAATAGATATGCACTTGCCACCACTCCTGGGTAACTTCTCTTATTTTTTTATAGTGATAGGATCTTACTGTGTTGCCCAAGCTAGTCTCCAACTCCTGGCTGCAAGCATTTTTATTTTTATTGTTTCGAGACAGTCTTACTATGTTGCCCTCGGTACAGTGCCTTGACATCACAGCTGACAGCAACCTCAAACTCTTGGGCTTAAGTGATTCTCTTGCCTCAGCCTCCCAAGTAGCTGGGACTACAGGCACCAGCCACAACACCCAGCTATTTTTTGGTTGCAGTTGTCATTGTTGTTTAGCTGGCCCAGGCCGGGTTAAAACCTGTCAGCCTTGGTATATGTGACAGGCACCCTACCTAAAGCCAGGTTTTGTTTTTTTTTTTTTGAGACAGAGCCTCAAGCTGTCCCCTGGGTAGAGTGCCATGGCATCACAGCTCACAGCAACCTCCAACTCCTGGGCTCAAGCAAGTCTCCTGCCTCTACCTCCCAAGTAGCTGGGACTACAGGCGCTCGCCACAACACCTGGCTATTTTTTTTGTTGCAGCCGTCATTGTTGTTTGGCAGGCCCAGGCTGGATTCGAACCCGCCAGCTCAGGTGTATGTGGCTGGTGCCTTACCCGCTTGAGCCACAGGCACCGAGCTGTAGGGCCAGGTTTTAATCTCACACTTAAGAGTTTAAAGAAACACAGGCCCAGCCTCAGGGACTGGAAGATCAGAGCAGGCCCTGTCCTCATTTTGCTTTAGCTCCCTCCCACCATGCTGGGGGTTTGCTTGGAGTTGATGCTTCAGAGGTAGTGAGAAGCAAAGATATAATAGTCATGATGAGATTACCTTATAGCAGGGGTATACTGTCATTAAAGGCTTATAGATGCTTCATGGAGCAAGGATGGTAACTGTCTCATCCCACCTGTGAGGAACCCAACACTAGGGTCAGTTCCTTGCCCAGGGTCATATACCTAAGTCAGAATGGGGCTTGAGTTCCACCCCCAAAATCCAGGTCCTCACTCCTTCCCTTCTAGGTAGTAACAGCAGCCACCTACCCACCTAGTTAGGACCGCGCAGCCCTAAGAGCTAGTGGCTAAATCATATGGAGTGGCCTCCGCCTCCACACCTATAAGAATCTCAAAGGAGGGTTGTCCCAGCTGTGGCCATAGCCTCTCAGCACTCAAGAGTAGATTCAGAGTACAGCTTGTAGACAGCCATTGCACTATCTGGACCTATATCATAGTCAAAGCCACAACCCATCAGAACTCAGTTTGGTCAAAAACACAGCCACTCCCACCAGGACCCACAATTTGGTCAGAGATGAACACAAACTCTTCCCAAGATATTTGACTCATATCTTGGTCAAAGCCATGGTCCTAGGCTGTCATTGAAGCATGACAAGCACAGAGCACTCTCCCCTCCCTTATCATACATAAGCAGAGGTGAGGAGTACAGGGAGACCCTAGCACATCACACAATCTCCAGATACCCATTTCGCCATGAGTTGAACTAAATGTTCTCTGAGGTCCTTGCCAAGTTGCAAATTCATTACAACATTTCAGTTACTCCCAAAACCTTTTTTGTTTTTTCCTGGTAATTAAAAAGTTGTAGATCCATTAATGACAAGCAGAAAGTCAAAGAGTCAGATTAAATACCCAGGACACCAGGATGAGTGAGCCCCTTGACAATTTCATAAATTTCATGTATCCACTTCACCTAGATGTTTCACACACACCCCCACACCAGATTTAGAATTCACCCATGACACCACCTGGATGCTTACACGCCCATGGACACAAACACAGAACCACACAGCACAGTGTTCTCACTGTCTCTATCCTGAGCATACGTGCACTTCCCTAAATACCTACCAGAATTCAATTTTAAAGCCAAGGGGCACTCCTGTTCCCACTGAAGAACTAGCCCATGCTTACATCTTTGAAAGTTCTGGGCTCAGAGAGGCCAAGCGATCCACCAAAGGCCACACAGCTCAGTTCCAGTCCAGCCACCTGGCCCACACTCTCTGGCTAGGAAAGGGAGAAGGGCCTGATGAGCCCACAGGGTCCTCGCCTGGCTGGGGGCAGTGAGGATGGAATGGGGAGAGAGGGGGCCGGTGCCTTATAGGACGTGTTGGTGACCAGATCTAGCCTCCTCCAAGCCAAGCCAAGACACCCCTCATACACCTGTCCCCGCCCCCTGCTCTGCCACACCTGTCTCCGGGCCACCACTGTCACCGCTGCTTCACCTCTCCCCAGCCCCCACCTGCCATCGCCCCTCGCACACCAGTCACAGCAGCCTCACTAGTCCCTGGCCCCCTCTCCACCAGAGACCTCCACCCAGGACGCCCTACCCACCCATCCCGCTACACCTCCTTCCAGTCTCCCAGCAGACCCCGCCTCACCACCGCGCGGGCAAGCATGAAGAGCGGGCCGCCCATTGCTGTATGGCATCCAGATCTTCTTCAGGGGGTTCTGGGTCAGTTCCCGGGGGGATGCCATCCCGGGGCAAGGATGACTCCGTCTGCGCGGCTTCCAACCCAGCAGCCGGGCCACCTCGGGCCACCCGAGGCCCCGCCTCTCGGGCCCCGCCCCTGCTCATGCAGCGACAAACCTTGTCCATCTTCCCGCAGGTCCCGCCCCAGAACGGGTAGGCTCCACCCCAAGTGAAGAGGCCCCTGGCCTCTGAGCACGCATGCCCAACTCTCCTACGAGCTTGTTTTGGAGCTAGGAGAGGCGTTCCCCTCGCCAGCATCGAAAAGCGCATGTCCGGCTCCCGGATATCTTGTGTGTGCGCGCGCGCCCGCGTATGATTTGCATAGGCCTACTGGCATCGAAAAGCGCATGCCCGGCTCCGGAATATATATGTGTGTGTGTGTGTGTGTGTGTGTGTGTCGCTGATTTGCAATTGTGTGTGTGTGTGTGTGTCGCTGATTTGCATAGGCCTCACCTACTGGCCTGGTCCTGAGCGCTCCTGTCCCGTCTCTGCGCCACGCGTGGGTTATGCTCCGTGGTACGCGTGACTCAGAGCTCCCAGAAGGGCGCTCAGTGGGACGAGGCCTGTGTAATCATGTCTGCCAGATTGGTCAGATCTACTAGCAGGGGCCACCAGGCCTGCTGCTTCTTTTTTTTTTTTTTTTTTTTCCAGAGCCTCAAGCTCAAGCGAGTCTCCTGCCTCAGCCTCCCAAGTAGCTGGGACTACAGGCGCCCACCACAACACCCGGCCATTTTTTGGTTGCAGCCATCATTGTTGTTTGGCGGGCCCGGGCTGGAGATTCGAACCTGCCACCTTAGGTGTATGTGGCTGGCGCCTTAGCCGCTTGAGCCACAGGCGCCGAGCCGCCTGCTGCTTCTTATAGCCCCACTGTGCCCGCTGAGTCCTTTGCTGGGCTCCCTCTATCCCCCACCCCGTTTGCTCTGAGCCCGGAGACTCTCAGCCTTCCACAAGAACTACCTCCTTCATCTCATGGACAGACTCAGGACAGATCTCAAAATCCACAATGTTTCTCTCTTTGCCTTGTGCTATTCAGGAACTCAGACTAAACCCTGGCCCACCTGGAGCAAATGCGTGGTACTTTGTAACCAAATACTTTGGGGAGTCTTGCGCCCTAGCAGTATCTTAATCCTCTTTCCAGAATTCCATTTCCACAAGTTAAAAAAAAATTTTTTTGAGACTGGTTCACTCTGTCACCCTGGTTAGAATACCATGGCATCATAGCTCATAGCTACCTCAAACTCCTGGGTTTGAGCGATCCTCTTGCCTCAGCTGCCGGAGTAGCAGGGACTACAGGCACCCAACACAATGGTCTACCGGCTAATTTTTTTTATTTTCAATAGAGATGAGACGTCTCAATCAAACTTCTGAGCTCAAGCGATCCATCTGTCTTGACCTCCCAGAGTGTCAGAATTACAGGCGTGAGCCACCACCCTGGCCTCCAGTTAAATTTTTAATAATGAATATATACACATTTAGAAGAGTAAACCTCTGTCTCTTAATCAGGAAAATAGAATGTGCATGTCATCAGTCTTACAAGATTATAGTATAGTTTGTTTACTTATTTATTTATTTATTTATTTTTGCAGTTTTTGGCCAGGGCTGGGTTTGAACCCGCCACTTCCGGCATATGGGGTAGGCGTCCTACTTTTTTGAGCCACAGGCACCGCCCTATAGTATAGTTTAAATATGTCAATCTCTGAGAAATCTGTTTTAAAACTCATTAGCATTGTCATTTGTTGTATTATTTATCTTCCTCTTATCTTTGAAAATACACTGGGGACAAGAGATGGGAAAGATCCAAAAGTTCAGAAACCCCTGGCTCAGTCTTGTGTTTGGCCCCCACTGACCCCTGAAGGCTCTTGCCTCCTTTGTCCTCCAGCCTTGAAACTAAGCTTTCTGCCCCAGTCCCACCAACACACCTTGAACCTGGGTCACACTGCCCACTAGTGATGGCCTCCACAACATCCCTGGGAAAGTCCCTGCATCCTCAAATTCTCTTTGCTGTGTGTGCCCAGCCAGGAGTCAGATGCTAGGGGCACGGAAAGTAAGGCTGGTCTCATGTATGAGTGTAGAACCTCTCCTATGCCCTCCCTGTCACAACCCTGTCTTGAGTCAGTCTTCCAAGTCACAACCCAGGTCTTCAAAACCTCACAAGTACCCTTAAAAATGACTCTTTCACAATGTCTGGCCCACTTCACAGGAAATGAAGATTCAGACAGTCCACATGCCAGAAGCCCACCCCGACGCTCCCCCAAACCAGTTCTAGCTGCCTACTTTGTGAATGCCCTGACCCAGGCAAGGTCAACTACTTTCTCCTTCCTCATCCTCCCTCTGCAATGTCCACCCCCCCTCCTTCCACCCCACTCCCTGCAACCCTGAGCACACCCATGGGCGGCTCCTGATGAGCAGGGTACCCCTTGTGACCTACTTACTCCCAGTCTCTTCAAAGCCACTCATTATGTTCCTGACACAGCCAGCCCTCCTGTCTGTCTCCTGGCCACTGCAAAGGCCATCATAGAGCCACCCTGACCCCAGTGACCTTATCACCTCACATCCATACCATGTTCCAACTGGCAGCCCTCAGCACCTTTGCAAAGGGTACCTCCTCTAACATCTACCCAGCACTCCTTAGGCCTGACCATTCTCTTCCCCAGCCCTCCTGGAATGTTAATCAAGGCATGTGGGTAGGGGGCTGCCAAGACAGGGCAGGGGGCCAGAACTATTTCTAGGAAACCATCCCCACACTCGTACAGTAGGAGCCTAGTTTCCAGGAAATGCAGCAGCTCTGTAGCTCCCACTCTTCTCCAAAAAGTCTGACGCTAAGCTGACTCAGTCATGCCCTCCCAAGTCTTTATATCCAGTGGGGAGGCCAAAGGTCAACATCAAGAGAAGCCTAGGATTGCTCCCCAAGGCCAGGGTCTACATCTGTTCTGATGATATTCTCTATCTCCCCCCTCCCATGGTCCCATTTCTCAGGCAGAAAACTGAGGATGGGGAAGGGGAGAAGGGCCCAGGATTAGAGAGCCAGCCCACTGTGTGAGATGGACTCAGCTCAACCTAGCCCTTCAAAACCTCACCTGCCACACCTTGCACTATTACCACACTCCCCACCTCCACACCTGGGCTCTTACTTGTTCCCTCCATTGAAATGCTCTCCTGGAAAAAAAAGAAACGTTCTCCTGGCTTTCTGCTCCCTCAGCATCAGTAGATGCTCAGTAGGCCCTCATGGCTTTTCCCTCCTCAGGGCACCCCAAAGTGAAACAGCTATTCTGTCCTAGGTGTGGGAGGTGTGCTGGGATATCAGTGTATATTCATGTGTGAATATGTCATGCTCAGCCTCTTCCCACCAAGAACCTTGCTGACCTGACTCTGGTTGGCTGCTATGGCACCCCCTGCACTGATCAGAGGACTTCCCCTCAGTGTCCCAGGCTAGATGCCTGGGGTAGCCAATGTCAAACTTCCCAGTCCCTGTATCTGCAGGCCAATCCTGGCCAAACTGCCAAACCACCCTTTGCAGCATAAAGACCTAGGGCCATCAGTGCATGCCACACAGACCCCCACAGCAATGCACACAGATAAACTGCTCTGGCCACACATGCATATACACAGATGCACACACAGAAGTACACACACTAACAAGTCCTGCACCCAAGCATGTGCACAGAGACAGGCAGTCTGTAGTGGGGCTTGCTGCTCTCTGCTGCCTCACCTTCCCCTTTAATCTCCAATACCCGCTCTTGCTGTTACTGGTAGGCTCAGGAATTCCCAGGAATCCCAGCAGCCTCTGGCCATTTCCAGCAAAGGATTGTCTCCACGATCTCCCTGGCCCAGAGCTCATGGGAATATGAGGTTAAGACTTGGGGTATACAGCCATGTGACCAAGCAGCCTGTGAAACCTGATCTGCACTTCCTCACTCCAGCCTGGCACAATGCACACAGTAGGTGCTTAGTGATTCAGGACCAGCCATGGCATGCAGGAGGGACTCAAGAGAGGCCCATGGCCAGGAGACCAGGAGGACAGAGTACATAGTAGGTGTTCAGAGAAACTCAGGACTGGCACAGGGCACACAGAAGGCACCCTAGAAATACTGGTTTAAGGACTAAAACCACACCACAAGAAAAACCTTCCAAATAAGCCTGTAGACCTCCCCCAAACTGTGTGATCCCTAAGGGGAGACCTGGAGGAATATGACCCCTAAGAGCCAATAAAGAGCAGAGAAGAGCAGGAGAGCCTCAGGCAGCTCCAGCTGGCTTCCCTCCCCTGGGCTGGAGGAAGACACTATTTATAACTCCCCCTTAGCCCAGCCTCCTCTCCCCTACAAGGCGACAATGCTCCCCTTCCTCCAGGACACTATCAGACTGATGCCCCTCAGAGCACCCCAGGGGAGGAGAGATCCCCAGCACTCTCACACCCCTCCAATACCCCCCTCTTACAACTCCCATGTCTTTTCCTAATTCCCCTACCCTCCCCACGCTGCCCCGTGCCTACCCTGCCTGCCGCTCCCCGGCCCTGGGTCCGTCAGGGAACTGCCTCCTAACACGTCTCTGTCCATTCTGCTACCGAACTGGCCAGGGCCACCGCCCCCTGCAGCTCCAGAGTGGGGTAACCCCGCCTGCTTGCCTGCCCCACAGCCCCGCCTCTGCAGCCCGCCCTAGGCCCGCCTTCCCCCGAGGGCTGCTTACAATTGTGAGGTCAACTTCCGCGCCCCCACCCCAAGCACTGGAGGCCACACTGCCTCCTGTAATGCCTAGCTTTCCAAGTAGAGCTGCCCATACTACCCAGTATCTGCCCTCATCTCCAGCTAGAGTAGTCTAGCCAGTGCAGACTGCCTGCCCCACCTGCAGGCAAGCCTGCCCACACAGCCCAGAAAGTTAGTCTCATCTCTAGCCCAGCAATGGGGTTGGGGTGTGAAATAAGGCAAAACCTAGTCCTTCCAAACCAAGGGACCAGGTCAGTCGGGGCAGAGGATGGGGGACAGAGAAGCCAGATGTGACTCAGCCCTCAT